GGAGGGGTTGGGGGGATTCTGCACCAGGGCCGGGGAGCATATAAACATGTTTTTTGGCAAGGAGATGGTCTGCCGGGAGGAGGACATTCTGACGGAGGAGAAGGTGGACATTCTCGAGAACGTGATTCTTTCCGAGGCGGCGAAGATGCACAGCGAGCGTCTGCTGGTGCGGCCACTGGATGGCCCGCTGGTCGTGCCGAGGTTCCGTGAGGGCAGTGTTTGCGGGAAGTTTCCTGTGCCGGAGGAGCACCACACGGATGGGGTGCCCGATGCGGACATGGTGCTGTACGCGACTGCTGTTCCGACGTTCAAGCCGACCTTTGCGTGGGCGATGCCGTGCGCGACGTTGGGCCCGCGAGGGCGTCCTGTTGTTGGCGTCATCAACTACAACCCGCGCCACATTGCGAACACGTCGCAGCACATCCGCGTGGCTGTGCACGAGATGGCGCACGCCCTCGGCTTCATTGTGGCGGACATGGAGGAGCAGGCGCTGGTGAAGCGGGAGGTGGGTGTGCGTGGGAGGAGCAGTGCCCACGTTGTGAATTCCCGGAATACGCTGGAGCAGGCAAGGCGCCACTACGGCTGCGAGTCAGCGCCGGGCATGGAGCTGGAGTTTGTGCCGCCAATGCGGAATCCGGCGGCGCCAGGAGGGAAAGTAACACCACCACCATCAGCACCAGGAGCACCAGCAAAAGTATCACCGAAGCCGTCAGGATCAGAAGCAGCACCTTCCGCAGTAACACCACCAGCACAATCTGCGCAATCTGCGCAATCAGCTCCGGCGGCGCCATCACCGGGTTCAGCGGCACTACAGGGACCGGAGCAACCACCACAAACATCACAAACACAACCATCGTCAGCAGCTCAACAATCAACTGCGCCAGCAGCACCACCTGTTCGAAAGCTGCCAGTGATTCGAAAAGTCGCAAAGGAAGAAAGAGAGGAAGAACGAAGGACGGGGCAACGGAGGCATATATCTTCCACACGTGGACCCAGAACAGGGATTGAGGGTGGTCCACCAATGCACCTACCACCATTAAGAGGAGGAAGAGGAAGAGCTGCTGGGCCAGGTGTGCCAAGAAGAGGAGGAGTTGCTGGGCCATTACCGGGGCAAGTGGGGGGAGCAGGAAGTGAGCAGATTCTCAAGCTGCGTGCGGCCCAACATATTTCCGCATCAACGCAGGCAGCGGCGGACGGAACCCTCTCAACGGGCACCACGCTCACGGTGGTGGAGAAGCAGTGGAGGCCGCCTTCGTGGCTTGGCCTGATGTCTCACTGGGGGCGGCGGAACGCGAAGGATGAGCTGATGGCGGGCTTCGTTGTTTCCGGCTACTACACCGCGATCACGATGGCGCTGTTCACCGACCTCGGCTACTACAAGGCAAACTTCGAGATGGCGGAGCCGATGAGCTGGGGCAGCGGAGCCGGCTGCGCGCTGCTGACCGACAAGTGCGTGACGGACGGTGCCACGCTGTACCCTGATATGTTCTGCACCGACTCGAGCGACGCCACTCTGCGGTGCACGTCTGACCGCCAGTCGCTGGGGACCTGCGCAATTTACCAGGACGATAACATCCCACCGGAGTTCCAGTACTTCGCCACCAAGCAGGGCTCCAGGCGAGGGGCCATGATGGAGTACTGCCCCTTCATCGCGCCAATGAATGGCACTGGGTGCATGGATGGCGACGAGGCCATCATGCCTGGGAGCGTTGTTGGCCCGTCCTCGCGCTGCTTGACTGGGGAGAACCTCCGGATGGGCAGTACGGTTGTTGGTGACGTGTGCGTGCAGTTGAGGTGTGGTGAGGGCACGCTAAGTGTGCGGTACAGGGGCAGCGAGGAGTGGCATCCCTGTGCACCGGGTCAGACGCTGACGCCCCCGGCGCCATTCACGGCGGGCAGCATAAGATGCCCCTTGTTCAGCGATGTCTGCCTCACCATGTTGAAGCACAGTGATGCGAGCAGCACCGACGTGGAGAGCCACCCGAAACACCTTGCGATGACCAGAAATAACGATGGCAGCGCTCTGGCGGTCACTTCTGCGCCGCTTCTTCTCCTCCTCATTGTGATCGGCACGGTGATTGTCGCACCCTGACCCGTACCTGTTGCCGACACCGCACCTCCCCTGCTCCATGGGCCTCTCTTGGAATCCTTTTGCTATAGGAGCTCGGACATTTTCTTTCCTTCTTTATTTTCTTTTCTTTCCTTTTTTTTCTTTTTTTCTTTTTTTCTTTTTTTCTTTTTTTCTTTTTTTCTTTTTTTTTCTTTTTTTATTTATAGTTTTATGTTTTTTATTGCTTTGTTTTCTGCCGCGGTGAGCCAAATTCTTTGCGACCTCTCCCGGCTACAAGAGTGCCTGTGATTTCTCATTGGCCTCACCGCCCGGCGGAGGACATTGTGTAAGGTGTGTGTGGGACGTTTGCTTTGGAAATGACCGGTGCTGAAGTCATGCATCCCCTCTGGCTGTAGTGCTTCTTTGTCTTCAGAGGCGCATTGGCGGAGCGACAGCGAAGGGAACTGACTTATTCCCCATTTCCCAATATTTTTCTTTTATTATTATTGCGCACTGCGACATCCCGTGAAAACGCGCCGAGGATTTTGAAAGAAGTCTTTTTTCGGTGATGGCGGAGGCGCCTGATAATAGGTTTTTCTTTTTTTCTTTTTTCTTTTTTTCTTTTTTCTTTTTTGTGGACGGACACCGAATGAATGTGCGGGTGTTTTACTTCCTTCTTTTTGGGCTCACTGGGGATGTGTCAGCGCTCTGGGGCGGTAGCTGTGTTGTGTCTTTGGAGTGGAGGCGGGTCTAGCCCGATTGCCTGTTTCTTCTTTTTGTTGCCTCTCTTGTTGCTTAGGATGTTTTGCTCGGCTGCCCTCTCGCGGGA